ACCTAGAAGGCATCATATTGGGAAATGCTGTTTCCGTGCTTGATTGTAGTAAAACAGTGCTTCTCAATCTGAGCAATTTATAGATGTCGGTGGACTTCAGCTTCCAGGGTTCCCCAGTCAGCTGCGGAGTCCTAGGAATTGAAGTTCACGTGTCTTAAAGTTGCTAAGGCTGAAAAACACTGCAATAGAGAAAAGAATGGCCTGAGCAGTGTATCTAGATTAGCCTCCAACTTTTCCCCTCTCTACTGGCCAAGCAAGAGCTGCTGGAAATTACCATTCATCAATATTTGGCAGGCTATGAATTCATCCCTGATGATCTATATGAAAAGTGGATTATTGTATTACAAAAAAAAAATGTTTTTCTCTCCAGTCTCTTTTTAACTAGCTTCGCCACATTATGCAACTTAGTAAGGCAAAGTCTACTTTAAAGGAAACATAAAGGAGACAGTTAGTCCAGGATTAAACTAGATGATCCATTAAATTATTTTTTCCCGGAAAATAAAAACTGAAAAACTTTTGCTATTAATGGTTAAGACATAAAGCATTATTGTGGGAGTAACATCAGCGACCAAAGGAAAAAAAATGAAACAACAAAAAAAACGCAAATGCTTAGCTTGTTATACTGAGGTATTGTCAGCCATACAAGGGACCAGGAAATCAACTCCACGGGAAGGCCATAGCTACTTTTATTGATTATAATAACAGAATCTTTCAAGTATGATTCGTGCTATGCCTCCTCCTCCTTTTGAATGAGTTAGGAAGGTTGAGCCACTTTCAAATGTTATCTCATTTTGTGGCCTTTAAAAAATGCTTCATCTCTTTATGCCAAGTAATGATTACTACATATCTCCATTCAAGTAATCTTCCTTACTCTCTGCAGATGTAAAGATAATGAACATTGTTTCCATTCTCACGAGCTACCAACTTTGTTCAGGAAATGGGTGTTACAAAATTCGGTGTGATTGCTTTTGAAGAACTTCCCTTCTTTCACGTGATCTGTTCATAAAATATTCCACTATGCCATTTTCCCACGATCTTTCCATAATTGCCTAATGAGAAAGTGGTGATGATTTTACAGCGATGGATTACTGAACAGAGCTTTCCTTTCCATAACGGAGGATGCTGAAATGCATCTAAATACAGGTCTGATCTGTCTGGGTTGTCCAAACTGAGCTTTCCTTCAAAGAATCATGTGACTATACTTCAGACTGTTTCACATCTCTTTGAAGAAACTAGACCCACCATTTGGGAACGGTGGTCACATAATGGTCTTTCCTCCATGGTGGGCCATTTTCATCCAGCTCAGAGTCTGTAGATAAATGAATATCTATTAGATGCTTGCACAGTTCTTCCTGCTTCCTGACAGAAATATAAACATAACTATCTTGTAGACCGAAAGAAAATATCCCCTTTACAGGCCCATTACTTGTTAACTGACTACAGTAGGGAAAGGAGAGGTGATGCTTGCTGCAATCTAAATAGCATTGGTAAGTAATCATGTGGCTTATTCATGTGGCCTGTTGTGTGTTAAATGTACATCCTGCTCAGTGGTGGGATTCAAAAAATTTTACAACCGGTTTGGTGGGCATGGCTTGGTAGGTGTGCTTTGCATGTGTGCACACACTTTGCACGTGCGCCAAACACACACTTTGCACGGGCGCAGATGCATTTGCACAGCCGCAGAGGCATTCCAACTCACCTCCTGCAAGCCTGCACTCTCTCGGTCATTTCAGCAGCTGCCACGCGGCACTCTACTGTGCCGTGCAAAGCAGCTGTGCTTCAAAAGCAGAGGATAAAGGTGAGTATGGGAGCTTGGTGGTCCCCACAGCAGAATGGTGGAGAGAACCGGTTTGGTCTCCGCTGCTCATTGCCACTACCGGCTCAGCAGAACCGGTCCAAACCGGTAGAATACCACCACTGATCCTGCTTTTCTTTTAGGAGTTTAAGGTGGTGCACATAGCACTGTCTCCTTTAGTTTTTCCTTTACACCACAGATATTAAACTCGTAGTGTCACATTGCCATCATGTGACATTTTGCAATGTTTTTTCCATTCGTGGAGCTGGGGTGGGTGTGGCCTGCACATGACGCCCCTGCATTTACACTGTGATATATAGAGGTTCCACAGAGAGTAGCTTATCCAAAATTGTCAATAAATTGCAAGTATGTGAATGGATTTGAACCCAAATATCCTCAGGTATCCCCAGGGGTGGGATTCTAACAATTCGCACCTATTCGCTAGAACCAGTTGTTAACATTCTAAGCAGTTCGGAGAACCAGTTGTTAAAAGAAATTCCTTGCCTAATCCTGTAAGGAAGGCTGGAAGGAAACATTCTGGTGTTGCTTACAGAAACTGCCTCTCCGTTAACCCTTATTACATTCTTGGCAGGACTAGACTTCCTGTCTCAGGAACTTCTCTGGAGTTTTCTTTCCCTCTTTTGCTGGTTCTTTGCTTGTGTGGAGTGACCATTCAAAGTTACAATGGCACTGAAAAAAGTGACATGCCAGGCGAGGAGATGCGTACCTCAATGTGAGTGATATTGAGTTGGCCACACCCAGCCAATAACATGCCCACCAAGCCATGCCCACCACCTAAGCCACGCCTACAGAACTGGTTGTTAAAATTTTTGAATCCCACCCCTGGGTATCCAGTATTTTAACTCTATACCACATCTCAGAAGAGAATTTTATTCTGTAATTGTTATGACTAGGGGAGAGGGAACAGTCCAGACTATACCATCTTCAGCAAAAAGAAAGAAAGATAATGTCTTTTGATCAGTAGCATAAGACTGTCCATATAGAAGCTCCCACCAGGAAGCTTTCTTATGGTCTTCTATTCTACATCTGATTAGTTCATATCCTGTCTCACTATTGGGAAATTATTTTTCTGTTCAGTTTCAGTTACTCTTTGTTTGTTTGTGGGAGGGTGACAGGGTCACTGCATTAGGCAGCTTGCATTTTGTCAAACTGCTTTAATTTTATAGGAAAACTCTATGAATGGGGAAGTAAAGGATGACATAAGGCTCCTCCCTGGTTCTTCTTCTTTTTGTTGTTGTTGATAAATGGCTGGTTGTGTTTTATCAGTGATGAGAAGGAAACAGGAGGGCTTCTCTCCTGCCAGAGCCAGTCAAGCAATTGCCCCATGATTGAAAGAGGGAGGAGGAGGGAGAGCTGGGTGGGTATGCCAAGGCCTCCAAGCAAGTCTTTTCTCTTCAGATGTGGGGAAGAATGCTGCCCTGTTCCCCATCTTAAAAAGAATAAGTCACCTGCCAGTTCAGTCAGTTTTCCTACGCGGAATTGGAACAGAGCGGGAGGCAGAATTTGGGGGTACCCTTGGGCTTCTTCTGAATGTGAATGCTGTTTTATGTTGTCTGCCCGTTAATGTGGTTTTGCTTGAAGAGCAACACATCTACATCTGAGACAAAACGCAAGAGGCCTCCAGCTTATCTAGAGGCATCGGCCTAGCCCTACACAATTTGAAGCCTGTCTGCTCTCTCTCCTCCGACCACCTTCAGATTTTATTTTCATTTTGTACCTTTTCCGTTTCCATTCTTGACCAATGGAGATTGGTCAAAATGAGCAGTCAGAAGTTCTTTGCCTTGGGAAGAGAGGATATTTCTCCACATTTCCGGAACAGAGTCATTTTCCTTGCTCAATATGGCAGAAAATTGGTCATTGGAATAACAGTTGGGGGAAATGAGACAAAAGTAATAAGACGGTTGTTGAATGCATTGGGTGAGTGTATTTTCCCTTTAAAAATTTAGGGATAACAACCTCATACATATAGAATGACTTTAAGTTCTAAGGGACAGATGATGGGACTCAACTTCCTTTGGAAATTTCATATCTATCCCTGTTGACTCACTTCTTCTCTGGGCCCATTGGGTTTAGAGAACGCACTTTTCTCTGTAGGGAAATCACAATACCCCACACATGATTAAACCTTTCCTTTTGCTTATAGGTACTGCATAACTCCTGATGTAAGCACAGAACATTTGCCTGTATGTTGTCACTTACTGAAATCATTCCCTCCGGTCACCACTCTAGTCTTTTTCTCTGGTATGTCCTGTTGGTGTTAGTTCCAATTTGGATTCACCTATTAATTTTCCTGAAATCAATCAAGCTGCCCTTTCCTAAAATTAAAAGTTTTATTCCTTTATATATATTTTTTCTTTCCTGCTCCAGAGTTCCTCGCCTCTTCCCCCCCCCCCCCGCCCCCGCCCCCGCCCCAGCCCGCAAGTTTGCAGCTGTCTCGGTGTATCCGAACGTCCGCTTGCAATTACAAATAAAGGAGCTCGTTTGGATTGGGGTTTTGTGAGGGTGGGGGAGAGAGAGCTGGAAAGGGACAACGGGCAGTATTTGAAAATCTGTGGAGCAGAATTCCTGTGTGGAAGGAAGGCAAGGCTCCCTCCCTCCCTCCCTCTGCCCTCATTGATTTGAGGCGGGGAGGAGGGAGGCGGGGGAGGCGCTGCCTGGGTGGTCTCTTCTCTCTCCACTTTGGTGAGCTGTTGCTTAGCAGCTAATAATAGGAGATGTTTGCGGAGTAATTTGCCTCTTCCTCGGCCAATGGAAACTGGAGCACTTTCCCATCAAACCAAACCTTCCTCCCCCCCCCCCCCCCCCGCGCGCTTTCCTCTTTTCAGGATCTCGAAGGAGGCTGTTTGTTCCAAATGTTGGTGGGACGGGTTCCGAGGCGCACTGCACCGCCGGGCACCCGAGCGCCTCTCCTCTCGCTCTCGGAGGCTGTGTGAGTGCCTGCTACCCGCGCCTCCCCTCCCGCTCCCCCGCGGTCTCTCGAAGGGCCACACTGGGCGGCGCCAAGGGCGCCTGGGGTGCGCCTGGATGGCCCCGGATTCGCCCCCATAATGTTCGCATGGGATCCCCGGAGAAGCCATTCTGAAGTCTCGGACCCCGCACTTTTCTCTCGTGGATTAACCGCTCTTGGGAAGCCGCCGGAGCCCCCTCGCTTCTCGTCAGCACCGTCCTCGTTCGACCCCGCACCATGGCTGCGGGTCAGCCGGTCCCCGGGAGCGGGGGCTTCTTTGGAGAGCTCCCGTCGCCTTACGCAGCTGCTGCCAACTCCGATCTCCTCCGGAGACCCAGCTATTGCCACGCAGCCTTTGCCCTCAAGCAGATCTCCAAGGTAAGGAAGCGGGACGGCGGCGCTTTCCCACGGATGGGGAGGAGACGAGTTTGGAAAACTTATGGGGGGTGGGTGGGGTGGTTTCCTTCCCGTCAGGAGCAATTTGCAAAGGGGTGAAGGCGAAAGGCAGCCCTCTGGGGCGCGGGCGTGGGGTCTCCGCGGCGATGGACCCTCCGGGAGTCCCTCGGCTTCTTTGGGGTGGGAGATGAAAGGAAGGGGCCGGCTCTCGCATGCGTGCTCCGGAGACAGAGTCGGCTCTGTGGTCCCAGAAGCTTGTTCTTATTGAAAGAGGGGAGACGAGGCAGAGCCGTCCTGGGGCGGGGGGGGGGGGGGAGACTGTTCCTAAATGGGGAGCCAGGAAAGGCCTGCTCCCGAAAAGATCCCTGAGACGATGCGAAGGGGTTAGGAACAAGGGGACCCAGCCACTCGAGTGTGAGGAGGAGGATGGATTTTCTCCAGTCATGTGGCAAGACTACCATGGTCAGGGCTTCGGAAAAAACACTGGAGGAGACCAAGGGAGCCAACTGAGAGAAGGGTGGAAGAAGATGAGGGAGTGAGATAAGACAAAAAGATGCAGCTGACAAATGGGGAGAAAAAGCTTACACCTCTTCTTCTCCCCTCTTTCCCTGGAGGGTATCTGGGAGTTAAGTTGACCAGATCCTTGACCTTCTAGCTGCAATGAGGCTACAGACACCAAACAAGGAGCTTCAGTTAAAAGCTGTGTTCAGGAGAAAGAGAAGGTGAGATTCCTTCTCTAAGCCATTATCCGGGTGGGACAATCCCACCAAGTCTTAACTGTAAACTTTACAGTGACTTCTTTCTTTTCTTTTCTTTCTTTTTTTTTGCATAGCCAAAATATAAGTGTAGATGGACCCATATCTAGAAGCATCAGTCACTAGTGCAGCAGCCTTTCTAAAACATCCTTCAGGTGTGTGAGACTATAAAGCCATCATTTTCAGCCAACACAACCCTAAAATACAGTGTGTGAAAATTATGGAGTTCAGTCCCATGCATCTGGAACTGCCCAAGGCAAAGGGAGGCTAAACAAACTCATATCTTCAAACTTAGAAGGGAAGAATCAGAGAGGAGATTAACAAATTACTAGCAAATAGATTCAGTTGAGCCCTAACAGATGACTATACAGAACACCTATGGCCTCACAAATCTGTGAGTAGGATTTCACAGGAATGCTTCACTTAAAGATAGTAAATCTTCCATACCCCGGTGCTAGCTAATCCTCAAACAGGATGTTCCATGTAAGGAAATCATTTTGGCTAACTTTCAGTTTTTCTCCCCAGGGTAAGGCTGTTGGCCAGAAAGCCCCACTGTGGCTGCGGGCCCAGTTCCAGGCTCTGTTGTTTACACTGGGTTGCTGGATCCAGCGTCATTGTGGCAAAGTGCTTTTTGTGGGGCTGCTGGTCTTTGGGGCACTGGCAGTAGGGCTGCGAGTGGCCTCCATCGAGACTGACATTGAACAGCTCTGGGTAGAAGGTAAGTTTCTTCCTGATTGATGTGATTGCTAGGAGGAGTACATGTAGCATGGAGTATGTTGGGAGTGAGGTAGAAGTTGTCTAATACATTGGAAGAAAATTTAGTTTTAGTACCAGCCAGCTCATATATATATATATATATTGATGTATATATTTGTGCCCTGGTGTGTGCATGTAAACTAGTAAAAAAAAATTTTTTTTACTTTTCAATAGAACAAAATAGTTTTAGGACATTTCTTTGCATTACATACAATAGATAAACATTGATTAGCAGATGTTAAAGTATGGAATATAGACTTTTCGTGTTTTATGGCAGTTCTCATGGAATTGTGGGCAACTTCAAAGTAAATGTAAATAAATATGGGTTTTACTTCAGTTTTGTTTGTTTTGTCACTTAAGATTACAGAGATTGTGTGGATAAAAGATATCCAGAAGGTATCTGTTTTGAAGGTTTCACTAATGAGATGCAACTTATTAGGGACAGTTTCTGAAGTTTTGGGAAACTACAGATTTTGATGTTTACTTATTTATTACATTTTGCTTTCTCTTTGAGAAACTTTCCAAGTTGCTAGTCTGACATGAAGTATTATGCAGAGGTACACCTATATAGTTTAAGCAAAAGAATTTCAGTTATCCTTCAGGCCATTTTCTGATAAGAATGAAATTGTGGTTATTCCCTAGACCTTGTGCCTAGGCCAGGAGATTTCTCTTTAATCTCAGGTTTGTTCAGTCACGTGTAAATTAATCTATTAAAAAAACCTATGACTTAAAGTCACAAGTTTTAGGAAGCATATCTTACCTACAGTCCAAAGATTTAATGACTTTTTAAAAGAGACAGTTTGACTGCATTGCCAGACTTGTTCGTAGGAATGTATGTTTGTGTATAAAACTTTCATCACTATTCTGCATGTGTGTGCCTGTGCACATTGTCTCATTGTAAGTGTGCAGTCCAGATTTCTGTGAAAATGCATTCCTTCACAAATACAAGTATAATTAAATTGATATTCTCCCCTCAGATATGGATTTTCTTGCCACCACTTCCTGTTTGGTTCATTGCATTATTGATATTCAAACACTGAATTATAGTTTTGAGGGTGATACTGAAGGAGCAAATAATTATAACCTGCAGCCAAGCTGTCAGTTGCACTTTGGTTTGGATTCCACACTCTGGCAACTGAAAATGAATTCAGGTTAAATGCAGCCAGCCCAAAACAATGGCATCATCCATGAATACACTTTAATTTGATTTTAAAAATGATGTTTTTAGGAAGTCCAGCATGCTAACTCTTTTCAAATTGTTGCTATTTCACCCTGTTCTTTCCCTTCCATCCACTCCCTTGCAATCTTCTCCCTTCCAACTCCAGGTTGTGCTGAGTTTTCACACCCTGGGACTTTATTTATTTATTTATACTTTTTCTTTTTTTTGCAAGCAGCCTGGGAGCTTTCCAAGAGCAGATGTTTCTCTGTGATGACTGTCAGCGTTCTTTGGCGTTCCACACCTCCTCCCCCTGCACAACCCAAACTCCCTGTGTGGTCCTAAACTACTCTTGGATTTTGTTCAACAATAAAGGCAACTTTACTCTTCCACCCTCCCACTCCCTTTTAAATAAAACCACACTCACATGAATGCCAGTAAAGTTTACCCACCTGTTTCACACTCTGAAAGGGGATTGGAAAGAAAAGAAAATACCTCAACCTTAGCCTTTTCCCCTCCCCTACTTCTTGCCTCTGTGTGATAGAGTCTTATGGCAAAAAGGAGATCCATCAAAAATCTGCAGCTGTTTAAACATTTAAAGATGGGAAATACCCTTTTTTGTAATCAACACATCTTAGTCCAAATCAAGAACACCCCCCCACAACCTACATAGTTATAGGTTTGTTCTTAGTTACTGTTTGGCCACTGACATTTGTTCAGTTTTTTTGCCACAGGGTTCTTCTTTTTTGCCTGTCCCAGTGTTGAGTTGCTGCTTGCAGGATCTAGGGCTCAGCTTTGATTGCTGCTAAGAAGAGAACCTATGCACAGTCTTAAAAGAAATTCTCACTGATGGCATTTTGAATATATACTTCTCAACACCATAGGTTGTGTATTACAGCAAATCATTCTGATTGTGCTTGTACTTCAGTGAAATGCAATGTTTATCAGCTGACTAGCATTTGCCACGCATCGTTTTGAGATATATTGTTGTGGATAGCTATGTGCTGGGAAATTTGGATACAAAAAGTTACAGATGGAAGGAAGAGAAGATTGCACTTATATATATCTCCTTTCCTGCTGTTTCTTGAATTTTCTATTCTATGAATGTGGTTATAAATCCTTTGGTAGTTAAAACAGAGTTTTTTTTCTTGGCAATAAGTACTGATGTGAAACTGCTTTTTGAATTCTCCTGCATTCTTTTCTGCAGCTATTGTGGGTCTCTTGAACATAAGTTGGTTAACAACATACTGATTTCTAAATCTGTTACCAATCCACTACCTCCAAACTGATGACTTATGGTGCTATGCATAGAATACAAAGCAGACAATATATTTCGGTTCATGACTGAATTTGACATATGTTTCATCCTTAGTCATCTTTGATTGTTTTAGTTTGAGGAAAACCCTAAATGGGTACATCTTGGATAGTGAGAGGAAAACTTCTGCATTTCAGAGATTGACAAGGCTGAAACCAAAAAATAGATAGACCAGAGTTAAAAGTGGGTGTGTCCCTCTTTCTCTCCTATTTTTTTTGCAGCTCTCTTTGCCCATTCTCTTGTCTTAAACCACCTCTTCTTTCCTTGTATAGAGGTAGTTCTTAAGGGAAGAAGAAATAATTTATGCCAGACATCAGAACTAGTTGGTACATGGGGATCCTGTGTTCTTTTCTGTACTTTGAGTTTTTCCCTTAGTCTTTTTCTCTTCTCCAGATTTAACCCTGGGCTCATCCACATATTGAAAGTGACCTGTGGATCTCACAGCACAGATTGTTAGCCCTGATCTAGGGAGGGGCTTTTATCCTACTGTAGTATATTTTTTTCTGCAGGTTCATATCAATGGCAACTTCTCTGAATTTATTTCATGAGTATGGACAGGTAGTCTTCCACTTATAATTGCACTCAAAATTTCTGTTGCTAAGTGAGTTTTGCACCATTTTACGACCTTTCTTGCCACAGTTATTAAGTGAATCACTGCAGTTGTTAAATTAGTAAGACAGTTGTGAAGTGAATCTTGCTTCCCCATTGACTTAGCTTGTCTTAAGGTTATAAAAGGTGATCACTTAATCCCAGGACTCTGAGTCAGTTGCCAAGTGTCTGAATTTTGATCATGTGGCCATGGGGATGCTGAAATGGTCATAAGTGTAAAAAATGGTCATAAGTCACTTTTTTCTGTGCCATTGTAACTTTGAATGATCACTAAGTGAACTGTTGTAAGCTGAGAACTACCTGTATGGCTATGGGAGTCATCCTTCAAATGTATCTTCTATCCAAACATTGGTTCTGAAAGCAGAAAATGTTCAATCTATAGTGTCTGAGAAATGATAGCAGAGTCTATGCTAAATAAAGAACTTGGAGTATAGCTATTATAGAAATCAACACCACAACTGATGTTCTGTTTTTCTAGTCATCAAAATAATCATGGCTGTCTCCTGTTCTTCCATACTGTTCCTCTTTAGATTCCTTCCTCTTAATTATTCAATGTGAAATGTTGTTATAAATTATCCTTCCTTAGTGTGTTACCATTCAGAGTGCAACTCCTGTCATTCTTCACCATGATTCCTAGCACACCAGAAGAATAACAGATTGGAAAAGATTTTGTGTAGATACAAGTGTAGATAAGACTTGCCATCTAAACCTGGATTTGGTGCTTTTGGTTTATATAGTGTAGATATGATTTTCTTGACCTAAAGGCACTAAGGCTTTTCCTCATCTTGAGGGCATTATTTCTTTACTTCAGAACTGAATGATATGAAAGGATAACAGTTGATTAGGAATGGTAGCAGGAAAACCTCTATTTAAAATATTTCTGCAAGTCATGTCTTTTGGTCTGTAAGAATGTTTGAGACAAAGCAACTGCCAAATTAAATTTATGTTCTTGAACTATGAATGGTTTAAAAGATTTTGAGGTTGTTAAATCTTTTTGTGGTTTATTCTGGAAAAAGATCAAACCATTATTTGGTTTTAATAAAATAACCTTTTCTACTGCTGATATCTTAAATGACTCAGAGAAAGAAGGCAGTGATATCCTAGGTGGATTTTTTCCATGAAGCTAAGGATACAAGTTCATACTTCTTTTAGGTGGACATTGTTCTCCTCAAGTTTTGAGCACAAATGATTTTGGCCAATTTTATGCACAGAAATGTGATTTCAGCAGTGAAAGATCAAGCTTTTTCCTCGTAGTTTAGGAGGTTGAGCTTTCTTCCTCAACTCAATTTTTACTAAAGTATCATTTCTGGACACATTGGGATGTGTTATCTCTGCATAAAAAAAAACCTCAAAACATTTTCCAAAGAACTACTGACAATTAAGATACTGTAAATATATTCCATGAGCAACATTCAGGATTGGCATCTTATAATTAGAAATGTGGTAAAACAATAATATTGACATTTGCAAAAATTCTGGAGTAAGAAATATGAGTTTTTATCTATCCCACAAAGTTACATTTTAAATTTGAATCTTTATTTTTTTTAATCTCTTGCATCTTTCTGTGTATAATCGGTGGATGGGTGGTAATAGCCTGATAATAACATCCAGATTAGAAAGAAAAAACTGGCATTGAATTGAAATCATAAATAATATGCTTTTCTTTACTATGAACTGATGAATGAGTTTCCAGAGGATTTCTCAAATTTATATAGTGTACTCTGTCATATATTACAGGTATTTATAACAATGAGTAATCCTAAATACTTGAATCTGCACACTTTCCTGAAAGCTCATAACATTTTTCCCCCTGGATTTTAGTTTTTTTTTTCCTTGTCTCCAACTTAGAATCAATTGATGGGAATACTGTAGTAACTTCACT